GCACAACTGGCGTTTGAACGCTGAAAAATAACACATGCTTTTGGCTGTCAATCGAGGGTCTCGATTGTGTGTCAAAAACTTCTGTAAATACTAAATCCAAAGTAGGTTTTAAAAACCGACCGTTGAAACGTGAAAATATATCAGCATAGTAAAAAGACACCGTGTAAACGTGTAATTTTACTAACTGTGTCCGAATGCTAATCGATGTTCCCGATTGTGAGTCACAAACATCTATAAATAATAAATTTAAAGTAGGTTTAAAAAACAGGCCGTTCAAACGTAAAAACTATTTCACTACGATAAAATACGCCTTTTAAGCGTCCAAGTGAAGCAGCTGTGAAAACGACTAAAATTCTACGAATAATACATGGCTCCAATTTCAGTTAGCATGAAACAGTAAGCGTTTTCACGTCGTATTTTTTTGTCGTTAGTGACGCACAATCGGGAACATCGATTGCCATGCGAACACGCCCGAGAAAGTATGTGCGTTTGCACGCGTTATTAAAATTTTTTGTCTGCTTGGGTGACCGCTGATCTTCATTTAATGTTGCATACATTTCTTTTCCTCTTCAAAGTTCTTCTTCTTTGTTGATGGTTTTTGATTGAAATGAGTACGGAATGGATGATGGTACTGATATGCCAAAATCATTACAGCTGCGACCTTGCCCTTTTAGTTTTCCCTCTATTGCACGTAATGCCATTGCTTCTGATGTTTTCACATCAGCATAAATCATGAAACCTTCAGCCATATGTGTTTTAAATAAATTCCAGAGGTCTACAGGATTTGTAGGATTACGGTATAGAAGTATTACACAGAACAGTGTTCTTAGTTGTTGTGGCACCTGGAAGATATTTGCTTCAGTCATGCACTTTTGATATTCTGTATCATCATGTAACAGACCTCGTCTTTTAGCAGCATCAATAAATGTTAGACAAACATAACCGTCTACTGTTTTCAGGTCATCAAAGCTACAGGCACCAGAAGTATATAATAGTAATAATCGAAGATGCTAGCGTTCTACATCGTCCGGGCTGACGGAGTACATCCTGCCGATAACGTTTTCACCTCGTAAGCGACGTTTCCATATTCCATTATGGTCAAAGACAAAATATTGAGGAATATCATGATAAAGATATGTTCGGACTTCTGGAGTTTTGCAATTTAATTTAAACCATGCCGTGAGAGTGGTCTCTTTTACAGTTGCTCTTTTTAATGCTGATTCTTCATTTCCTTCACTAAAATAAACCGATTGCAAGTTTAGAAGACGAACAGCCAATCGGATGATAGCATGTGATTTATCATGTAATGGAAATTCAAAAAGTCTCCATGCAGCTTCAGGTGCATTTACATATCTTGCATCAACATGTGTTTTAATCTCATCCCATTATAAAGTTTCTGCAGCAGCAACAGCAGCTCCTTGAACTAATCTTTCTAATCTAACGTTTGCACAATCATGTTCCTTGTAAATATATTTAAATAAATATTTAATACTCTTAACAGTTGCACATATTTCCCCATTGATATGAGCGTTGTATTTCTTTAATAAGTATGGATTATACGGAACTATCCATCTATTCTCAAGTTCATATTTGCCTATGCTTATAGTAATTCCATTGTCTCTTCTGTGATATCGTGGATAACCATCTTTATTTGCCAGAGTCGCATTTTGAAACTCCTTTGCAAACTTTTCCGAGCATTTTCCATGTTCCATGCAAGGCGAATATGGATTTAATGTTCCACATGGTCCATGAATCATTTGATTTCTAACCGACGCATATAGTTGTGGAAACCGAACAGGATCTGTATTTCACTGAGGTGATGTGTGTTGGGAGTATCCGTGTAAACTCGAAAATGAAGAGAGACAGGGAACGAGTATGTAGGTAGGTAGATAGATAGATAGGAGAGGTATAAGAGACATAGTAGGCATTATGAGATATAAGGAGGTATAGGAGGCATTAGGAGATATAAGTAGGGGTGGACCATTTAATTTAATTTGAGTTAATTAACGGCGTTAATTAACTAAAAGCGTTAATCGTTAATATTAACGAATTAACGCTTCTAGCAAAGCCGTTAACCGTTAATATTAACGTTAACTTGAACCGTTAACGTTAATATTAACGGTTAACGCTTTCAATTAACGTTAATTTTAACGGTAACGCTTTCAATTAACGTTAATTTTAACGTTAACGGTTTTTACTTAACCGTTAATTTATTAGAAATTAACGCATTAACGTATAAACAACAGTGAGATCGTTTTATTTCTATTTTTTTTCATGGAAAAATCAACATTCACACAATAACTGTTTTCATGGTGTAGACGCTGATGTCAGTATGAGCTACGAATCAAAATCATACCTATATATTAATTCAATCGTATCTTACAGGATATTCTTGAATTCTTATATGAAAATTTTAGTAGAGTACGAGAATCTTAGAGTGGGACATTTTAAGTTGGTTTGAAATCGAAGGTTAACTTTTATTGTGTACTCAAAAAGTGAGTACACTCTAAAATCGGTCAGTGTGTCCGGCCGGCCGTGTGCACGATAACTATTCACAATTACATCCGATTGAGCTGAAATTTTGTGCACAGAATTTTCTCATCAATATCTCGGTCGAGTTCGAAGATGAGAAGGATCCGTCAAGAAATGGCTGAGTTATCGAAAAAACTGTCAATTTTGACCAGACCATCCCTGAGGAGGGGCGGGTGAATACTGGGATTTTTCAAAAAAACAATTTTCTCAGAATTATCCACAACATATATAAATCTACTCAGTTTTTAACGCTGATTCCGAATCTGATATTAGTTTTGAACCAAATCCCAGTTTTCTAACGAAACATTGCCTGAAAAAGGTCTTAAAATGTACAAAAACTACATCCAGAAACCAAATTACCTAAATATGTCTCAAATAGCCAGTAGTTTGGAGGTTTCCCAAATGCCTGTTTTTGTAGCTAGTCAAAAGGATTATCGAAAGGTAAAAACCAGAACTCGATAGATATTAATATTGGTGATTCATTAGGAAAATACTGATGCCTATATCTACCATATACCTCTTATAGATTCATGAGGTTGCTTACGATCGTAACCCTGTTAGATACGAACGCAAATCCATTCAAAAACAAGGAAGCCGCATCAGGGCTATCAGGGAAGTCAAGGATATCAGAAACATCAGGGAACTTGGACACCGCTATGTTGATAGGAAAGGTTTGCCTGGATAATTCTTCGATGCACATATTCTAGAATGACTGATTTGTCTCATTCACTTTTTGAACTAAACATAACTCTCGGACTTAAGTCCGAGATTTTCACATTTATTTAAATGAACAATTTTTTTTTTGATATGACGAGATATCGTTGTACGGTCATGGTCTTAAAGATAGAATACACAGTGGATACATATGCGGCTATAAATCATCATTGTGTACTGAGGATGATGGTAAAGCTAACTGTCCAGTTTCTAGTTGTTGATTAAAAATAAAAGATTAAACCATAGTAGTAATAAAAGGCTATTTCATCCTGATTTTTCCTTAAAAAGATGATATTTGAAAACCCCTATGACAGTTCAAGAATATCTTGCAAGATAAGATTGAATTAATATATAGATATGATTTTAATTCGTAGCTCATACTGACAAGTAACGCTCGTCGCTAGACTAGCTTGACCCTCGACTGAATATGCAACAATTTATGTTTAACTAAGTATATTATACGGTCTTAAGTAACACTAAACGACGTTAGTATTTTATCCACAAAAACGATTTCTACGACCCTGTCTGTTAAAACAGCCTCAGGCATGCCTTCAATAAGGATATGCATGACAGTATATTATGTGTGCCATGAGTTGATCTAGACATAGATTTAGTCAAACACCAATACTAAAATTAACTTTTGTCTATTTAAATTAAGCAAATAGTACGCAATTGCACAGGCACACATCGATTTCGAATTCCAAACCTTATTTTACTTGATTCAAATTTTGTTTAAACTCGGGTTATCTAACGGTGCTGAAAGAGTTGCCCCCCTCCCCCAATTATACTTTCTCACTCTTCTGTCTGCTGAAAATTTATTCCTATAGTTTGTAGAAAAATAGCTTGTTAGCGCAGCCCTTGTGGGACTAAAATGTGGAACTCACATATACTGTAACTGCTAGTAGATAGTTTAGTACATTGTCTTATGTAATGAAACATGCTTTGAATTTTGGATGAATTGAAATGAAATAGTAAAAGATTATTACCAAGAAAATTTGATTTACTAATTAAGAAAAGTCAAGGTTGCTGAGAAAATATCAACTTTTGCTCAAAGGTAAATTTTGATGTCGTTGGATTTTTTTCAATTTTTGTAACATTGGAGGGGGCTGTGAGGGGTCTATCAGGGGGTAACCTAATTAGTCTAATTGCTAATTAGCACAATTTTAAACTAATTAATGTCTGTAATGGGGAGGGGGAGGGGTGGGGAGCCACAAAAATCTCGCTTTTAAACTTACACTCATCATTTTCTTCGAAAATATATGTGAGTTCCACAATAAGCTGTTTGCCATTTTTCGTTACTATTAGAGTCAGTCTGATGTAGTGGATATTTATCATTCGTATTCAACAAGTCATTCTGAATTCTTACGTCAGCGACGATCGTTAGACAGCAGCTAGTCGTTCGTAAGCGCCCCTCACAACTAGCCACAGCCATATTCCGGTCGAATTCCAATCGTGGTCATACCTTTTTAGTTATACCCTAGTTCATTCCAACATCTACTAATAAAAAGAGCACTCAAATTTAAGATTGAATGTTACTCCATGGTATATACAGAATCAATTATTTCCTCGTGAGCGTTTCCTTCTGATTCAAGTTTCGGAGTTACCCAGAACTGCTAAAGTTACGTTTTAGTTCTCATAATAAGAGATTTTCATT